GACGAGAGAGAGAGAGAGAGAGAGAGTGAGAAGGACGAGAGAGCCACTTGTTCTCTCTAGAGAGAGAGAGAGAGAGAGGGAGGGAGGGGGAGTGAGAATTGTAAATGAAGTGTCCTCCAGTTTCTTCGTCTTCGAAGGGGACCAGGCCTTCGTTTTGTGGACTATTTACTGACCATGATAGAATCAAGGTCCTCTGCAATGGCGGTAGGGTGTCCTTTACTCTGTATTCAGAGAACGTTGGGTCAAGATTTGAAGGGCGCCCATTTTTCAGTCACAGTAAAAAGCTGAGATTTTGTGGGTACGGGAGAGTTCATTCTCATGGTTCAGAGTGGAGGCATTTTGCTTCAGAAGAAGCCATGGGAGAAGAAGACATCGATGATGGGCCGGTTCCTGATGAGTTGTCTTGTTTCAGGGGTTTGGTCTTAGACATCTCTTACAGGTCACTCTCTTCTTCTTATTCTTATTTTCTGTAGCTTCTTTCTCTTCTTTCTCTCTTTATGTACATGGGGTGCTTCATTTTGAACTCTATGACTGTGTAAATGTTTTTCTCCTATTTAAATTTTGTGGTTTTAGGTTATTCTTTTGATTGTTGTTTTTGGTTATGATCTTGTTCTCTTTGATTACCCCATTTGTATTCTTCAATGCTTAAAATGGGTTCGATACAATTAAACTTCACATAGGGTTTCTATAAGGTTGCAACCTTAAACAATCCAATTAAGGCGCACCTCCAAATTTTATCATACCATGTAATTTTGGTGTAAAAAATTCCTAGGAGTATCTCAAAATCTATTTTCGCATCCAATTATAAAGTTTTAAACTCCAAAAATGGTTAAAATCAAGTAGATCTATAAACTTATGAAGATCTTGAAAATGGACGGTCTAGATAATGTGCACTATTTCTAGGACTCAAAATCTTTTTTTTTTTATTTTTTATATTCATACATTTCAATGTTGAGATGATTAATTAGAGGGTTCTTCAACATTAAAACAACATTTTCCGATGGATTTTTGAGGTGCATCTGTGATTCTACATTTTAAGGTTGCAACCTTATATAAACTTTTTCCATTATTAATATATAAACTTGATATGATTTCTCTCTCATTTGGTGAATGAACATAGTTGCAGACTGGTCATGTTTCCATTTTCTTTTTTCTTGATTTTTTGTGATGCCGAATTCGATAGTGATATTATCAAGAAAAGAGGAAAATAACATCTCGCACTAGAAAAGATGGAGAATTTTGGAAGAAGGCAATAGTAAAGATACCTAGGTTCCTTAATTCATGCTTTTTTCATCCCCCCAGAAATTAAGATTTACCTTTCTACAAATGCATCCTGGTTTTTGCTAGCCAAGGTGCATTTACTTGTTTTGGGCTCGGGGCTCAGGCCCTGCCCGATAATTTGGGCGAGTCCACAAGGTAGGGCTTAAAAAAAATAAAAAAAAATAAAAAAATAAAGATTAGGGCATATGACAAGAAAACTCACAGATCATCAAAAACATCAAAATTATAACTAAAATATTTATACATTGATTTAATAATTTTTGCGATTTGTTTTATTTTTTTGTTTTATCAAGTTTTTACCCAAGTACTCGGCTCAGCAAGGGGCCAAGTCCAAGTACCTCACTGAGTTTTTGAATGCTATTGTGATATGATATGATACTTATGTATCTTTTGCATAGAAATAGAAATCTCAGGGACCCATGATTTGTCTGCAAAAAGGACCAGTAAACTAAGGGCTGCATTGGATTATCTTATTTTTCTAATTCCAATACCCTATTTTCATTTATGATTGCATTTTTGTAACATTGGAACAGGGAAATTCCTCAAACCATATCAACTGCAAAGAACATTTATTGAAGTTCTTTGAGATAAAAAAATAAATTCACCAACATACATGTCTGGGCTCCATGAGATGAATTTAAATTTATTGGCTTCATGGGATCCCAACTAGACTCCATGTGGATTCCAATATCTCTTTCAACATACATGTCTGGGCTCTATGAGATTCGAACTGCAGAGAGGCCGATGAGATGAATTTAAATTTATTGGCTTGACGGGATTTCAACTAGACTCCATGTGGATTCCAATATCTCTTTCAATAACATAATACACCATTGTATCCCCAATTATGATAATACCACTCAAATTAGGATGAAAACTGCATAGACTGTTCCACCTTTTTGGAAATAATAGGATTTACTTTCCAGGTTACAGTCGACGATGGCCACCACCATAACAGTCAGCTAGCCAAAGTGTGATGCAAGCTCCATGACCATATGGGTTTCTCAGTTATAGCATACGTGGATGTATATTTGTGCAGTGTAAATGCAAGTAGTGTTACTTATACAAGAAGGATTCGTTTAATGCAGTTTCAGTTTGCTTATCATCCAATATCAAGATTGAAATCCACTTTCAACTACTGCCCAACATTGGGTGTGCTAGGCTTGCTTCTACATATTTTCTTTGGTTGTCTGTTCATATAGCTGAGGGTTGTTCTCCCAAATTTATATTCAAGTAGCATAATTTCCAAATTAACTAATTTTTATTTGACATTTGTCTCATAATGTTTGCAAATTCAATTGTATGCTAACGTGGTGCAAAATAAGGAGCATTCTCATGCACATGTGTGTTCTGATGCATTAGCCATATTGATTGCCTATTCACTATTAGTTGTGCTTGTGCATCTAACTATTGTTTGGTGCTTTTTGTGATTATAGAATTGTACTTTCTAAATCTAACCCAGGTCTTTAATCTATCATTAGAAAAATTATCTTAATAGCTACTTTTAAGGCATTATTTCGTAGATCATCTTCTTATCTGTTTGAATTTTGAGCATGGTTTCTTTGGGAAAACGTGATGTTCCTTCATTAAAATGTGCTTGATTCCCATCATATGATGTGTTAGGCCTATCAATGTCGTTGGCTGGCAGCGTGCCATCTGTCTGGAATTCATGGATAAGGTTAGACCGGCTCTATGCTTGACGTTACTGATAAGTATGTTCAAGAAATGTAGCCATTTTCGGTAAAAAGTTTTAGACTCTGTTTCTCTTTCTATAGAAAATGGAAAGCCCTATTCTGTTCCCTTCCCTTACTTTGCCAATGGAAGTGAGATAATAGACTCCTTGGGAATTTGTATTCTATTGTATTTAAAGATCTTGAGAATATTATGCCTAAGTCCCTCTTGTTTATTTTCAGGCTGATGTATTGGAATATTATGATCAGACTGTCTCTTCGCCCAGTGGATCATATTACATACCAGCTGTCCTGAGGGTATTCACTTAATGATGTATTGATTGGCTGTCCATTTGTATTTTATGAAAGTTCTTTTTGACATATTGATTGTGAGTTAATATTTTGGTTTCTTTTCCTAGACTAATGTCTCTACTGTTTTCAGGTTCCACATTTATTGCAGGTTGTCAAGAAAAGAAGAGTCAAGCACACCCTTAGTCGGAAAAATATATTTTACAGAGACTCCTTTGCTTGTCAGTAAGTATTCTATATAAATCTAGAAGGTTAACACCTACTGAGTATTTATACTCTTTTTTATCTTTTGATAATTATCAGAAGCCCATGTATCAAATTTTAATTCCTTTTTTTTTTTTAATGTCTATTTATATCATAGTCTCCAGAGGTTTCAATCCAAAGTTCAGTTCTCATCTTCTAATAATTCCATCAAATTAATCGTTATGTGAATCCTATAACATTAACTAGGCTTGGTCAACTGTACTTGACCATGATCATCAAAGAAACTGATATGAACTAAGGAAAAGTACCTGCATTGAAGTGATTAAAAAGCTACATTTGTTCCTTTACTCTGTTAGTTTATGGAACAATCATATTCACCGATGAAACTATTTATATCTGATAATTATTATTTCTTGTCTAATAAGAATTTTAAATGCAAATGACGAAGCCAGTTTTATGTAAAAGCTATCAAAGTTGAGAAGACCTTACACCTAAAATGTGTATTTTACCTAGAATGGTCTCGCCATTTGCTATTCTAATATGAAAATTAGTTATACCTCCCAGTACTTTTCAAACCTTTAGTGCTTCGTGTGAGCCAATTAATTCTTTCAGGTTGTGCATCTCTCTCTCTCTCACACACAAACACACATTCCCGCCCTCCCTTCCCCCTCCCTACCACCCCGCTTCTTGCTGTCCCCATCTCCCACTGATCTTGGGAACTTTTTTGATTTTTGAGCCTTCTCACATTTGTTAATATCATTAAAGCTGAAATCCAATAAAGACTGTTTTATACCCCATCACATCTGTTATTGTTGAGAATTAAATGCTGCTAGTCATCAGCTCAGAGACCTCCCAAGTCTCTTCCACCTCATTTTCCTTGAGATCGACTTAAGCTTGTGGAAGCCTTTCCCTAGTTTGTTACATTATATCTCACAGTGCGGCTTCTGCGTTGATGAGACAATGATTTTTGCGAATGCTTCACTTTATGAAGTCATTGATCTTAGTTTTGCAAATTTGGAAAAACTAAAGCTCAAACTTCACCATTGGCTTGGGCAAACTGAATCCACTCATTGTGTCTTGACTAGACTTGACCAACCTTCAGAAAAAAAATAACGAAAAAAAATATCGAGATACTGCAGGGTCTTATTCTTGTTTAGAATCTTGGTGGGGGATTGAGTCAAGTCTATTTGGGTAATTCCAGAGACTGTTCAGCTTTATAAACGATATGGACATACATGTTTGCAGAGATCATATGTCGGACCTATCCTTGGTTGGCCAGAATCAGATAGAAATGGTCTTCTTATAGGAAGCATATTTGTAACAACATGTGAATGTTGATACTGACGAATAAAATTGACATATGATAGTTTATGTAGACTAGGACACAAAGGTGTTCAGTGATCTCATAGCCTCGATGAGGACCTCATTTTTGCAAATACCAATTATCAGTCCTACCATTTCCTTAATCGCACCCTTTACTACATCCAGTAATTCACTGGCCTACTAAAGAATCCACAGACAAATATATTCTCCATCAACTCCAACAATTTTGACAAATCCTAAATTAGCTAATTTCTCACTTCTCACCATTATATGGGTAATTTGGCAAGAAAGAAATTGGAAGACAAAAGAAGGTCACGAGCAATCCTTTCAAAGGGTTCTAAAGGAGGTAACTGGAAGATCAAGAATACGATCCTGGAAACTAGCTTTGTCCCACCAAAGAGGGAAAGGGAAATAACCATTCATAAAAGATGGGACTCTTTAGCACAGAGTGACATGGGGTTCATGGTAGTGAGGTTTTTATGTACATAGATTGGAGAGAGTAAACAACGAGATCATTGTAATTATTATTCTTGTACATTTCCTTTTTCACCCACTAGTACAAGGGTTGGGGCTCGCTCAAACCCCTCGCAAGTTTGGCGAAAAAAATCTTGCTTCTAGTTTCTTTGCTTACTGAAACAGTGGGTTGTAGAGTCGGATGCCTATAGGAGAAAAAGGATGAAATAGTTAACCATTGATCAATGTTTCGTTAATCCCGGTTGACACCTTTTCCCTTTTTATTTTTTGGACAGGTATTGCTCTTCTACTGAGAACTTAACCATTGACCATGTTTTGCCAATTTCACGGGGTGGTGAATGGGAATGGGAAAATTTGGTGAGCATTGATTCCTACAAATATCGATAATTAAATGAATGCTTATATGCATATGCATCATACGGGTGCTGGTCATGGATTACCACTTACAATGTTCAGTATTAAATGTTATTTACTGGAAGAGATCGTTATATCCTTTTATTATGATGAGACCCGGATCCGAATGCTTTTGTTCTACACTCATTTGAAACTAGACTACTCTCTCTCTCTCTCTCTCTACCCTTATTTTGAATCCATATCCCTCTCTCTTTGCTTGACTTCATAATATTATTTATGGCAGGTCACGGCATGTTCAAAGTGCAATTCAAAAAAAGGTCAGAAAACTTTAGAGGAAGCAAAAATGAAGCTGATAAAGATTCCTAAGGTCTCTGTCATATATTCATCACCATCCTAACCTCATGAATTGCAGTGGTATGAATTGCATGACAGATTTAACAACACAAAAATTATTTCTAAATGGAGAAAAAGAAAAACATTTCAGCGACAGTTGAAGAGATGGTTTCAACTATTTAACTTGATTAGCTCTCTCTCTCTCTCTCACACACACATCGCACACACACGCACACACATCACACACACTCACACACTCTCACACACACACACACATCACACACACACTCTCACACACACACACACACATCACACACACGCACACATCACACACATGCACACACATCACACACACACACACATCCGAACTCAGAGAAAGGGTGGGTACTGGTGGGTTGGAAAATGTTTTTGGCATTTTCAAAGAAATAAGGTACTTCTGCCTTTTGACCTTTACTTAGTAAAATTCTTTGAACCAATCTCTATATTGGATGCACATTGCTATGTTTGTTACCCATCTGAGAAGCAAATGTTTAGGAAATATTTCTTGATGGGAAGTGAATTATTTGCTATTTGTATTTTCAGGCACCAAAAGACTTTGAAATACATGCTGTTCCTCTTACAACTTCAGCCATTAAAATGTTGAGGATGAGGAAAGGGATGCCAAATGAGTGGAGGCAATACTTATCCATGCCGGCTTCGGATACATGACCAACCATACTACATATATCTCAAATACTGTATTGTCTCATGGATCCTGTATATTTACAAACTTTTATAATGGTTCAGGTGATATTCATCGAGCACCTATATGAGTTCACATGCACGAGGAAAATGTTATTATTTGTCGTGAAAGAAAATTTATTTTCCCTTTTCCCTCCGAAAAAATAAAATTATTCCCTTTTGACACCTTGGATCATTGCAAATATATTTCAGGTTAATTCATGGGCTCAATTTAACACTTGGATCATTATAACTATATATACTTTTTCTTACTAACAAAAAAAAAATGAAAAACTTTGTGGGTCCCAATCCCACACGAGAATCTGTCTTTCTAGGATACATATTTTCTATATTTTTTTAAAAAAAATAAATTTATCTGTCTAGGTATTCTTTTTTATAGCATTGGTGGTCTTTATAGAAAGGGTATGCGTTATTTGTTGAGCTGTCTAGATATCAGGTATGCGTTATTTGTTGAGCTGTAAAATCATGAATCTTAAGCCAAAAGGCTCTAGAATGACTTTGGATGTGTTTCAAATCCCAAATCCATCACGAACATGTGGGATAGTACCTTAAGTCCTGAAGAAATTTAGGTCTATTGGTCATCATCATCCAATCAATCTTTGGACCGTGATGAACAGAGTGGGAGCTACTGTTTGCTGCCATGGGGTTATATCATGTATGGGGGGGTCCACCCCTATTTCCATCCGCGTCTTGTGATTGGAGGATGTTGTCACCAATGGATTAATAGAGTTTAGAGAGATCCCCACTTTATATGAATCGGCCGAACATGATTCTCTGTTTATGCTGTACCCTTTAATTTAAAATTTAAATTCGCATAAGGTTCGGGGGCTGGGGCCTAAGCGGCAGCACTATCGAGCCTTACGATAATAATGTCTTGGACTCCACCCTGACCAAAGGGTAGGGGCTTAAATCCCCACTAATTTATCTTTTGGAAAAGGGGTTGGGGTCGTGGTGGCAGTAAATTACCCAAAAAAAAAAAGTAGTAAATTACCTATAAAAAAAAGAAAAAAGTTTTGGCACTTGAAACTCCTTTGATAGCACTTGAAAATGGATAGTCTGATCATGTGTCACGAGATTCACCATTTTTGGATCTTAAAATTTGTTGTTTTATATCTATAACCGCCAAGGTCGAGATGATCAATTTGAAGGTTTTATCATGCCAAAATTTCATTTCAAGTTGAGGTTTGAGTTGTGGCCTTGCTTTTTATCATAAATCCTTCGCCTTATTTGAAATTTTTTCATTATCGTAATCTAAACCTATATAATTTGCTATTATCAAATATTTTATGGAGAATTATAAATAAAGCCATTTTTATTAGTACAAGAAAGCCAGTTAGGTGTGAAACCAAGTGGTCAGGGGTGTGTCATTCAAACAATCCATGCTCTTAAGTCAAAAATTAAATTTTTTTTTTTTAATTCTGTAACACATCTTTAGCCTTCCGATTTTATATTTGATGGTTAAGAATGATGGTGACTTCTTTTTTTTTTTCTCACATATAGAAATAAACAGCCTTCTACTATAAACCCAATATTTACAATCAAACAAGAAATTCAAATTTTTGAAAAATAGCCATCAAGTAATAACTATGTCTATGACAAAAACTTAGGGAGCAAATGAAGTGGAGGCTAGAAATTGTCTCTCTATTTAAAGACACATTTCACACTTTGAAAATTTGGGGACAACAAACGATTGTGCCAACTTGCAAAAATGCCGTGCAATAATACAATAATGGGACCCTCTACCTCTCTTTTGGATGGACCGTTGGGATCTCATCTTCGCTAATTGTTGGCGAATCTGAGCCGTTGCAGTTGTCACATTATATTGCTACTTTGGTGTAATGCAGTACACGTGTGTGGTCGCCTGATTGCACGTGCAATGCACGCAAGAATGAGACATTGTGGCATACAAGTGGTTGAGATTTTTTTTTTTGGTCTTTTTGCACCATAAGAATCTCAGTGCCGTAGATAAGAATGTAGATATATATGTCCATTGGGGAAACTTCATGTATATCAGGATGCATTTGTACGTACACAAGGAAATGTTTCTCTGACGCATTGCATCAGTGTTTTACTGATCCAGACCTGATCCGGGTCGCTGATATAAAAATTTGACATAGATCTTTAGGAGAACAATCTGCTCTGCTGATCTGGGTTTTAAAACTGATCCAGACCTGATCCGGGTCTCTGATATAAAAATTTGACATAGATTTCTAGGAAAACAATCTACTCTACTGATCTGGGTTTTAAAATACTGCTGCGTATACACATGACTTTTGAATGGTGGATACCAACAGCCATTTGATTGAACTACTGAGAATGGTTCGAAAAACCATATCATATACTGATACCATGTCATAGCATTGTTGTCCACTCATTCTTAGTCCTTTGATCTTTATCAATTCACATAATGTCCCCATGTAAATTAATTTGTAAATTTTAGGAAAATTATTAAATATATCCCTTATAGTTGGCTATATCTCAAACTTACTTTTATTTTTCGATTACTATATCTATATCCGTTTCTAGCTTCTTCTTTTTCTCGTAAAAGTCATTTTTACCCTCGTGACGGCTTTATTAAATTCGTGGTGGGTGCCACAGACTTGACACAATTGTGGTGCTGGGTAGATCCAAAACCGACTTTGTCCCCCTCAGCCAGGTTTCTTAGATGCCGTCACGAACATAGCAGGTCCGTGACAGTCTCCCCATGGCAACTCGAAAGCTTCTTGGGCGTCAAAAAGCCCATAAACCGTCACAAATATAACATGTCCGTAAATGTTGTCACAACTCTAATAGAGCCATGGCGGTTCGGAGGGTTATACATTGTATCTCTCCTAATGAGAGGAAGAGGGGCAAGGATTTGTTTAAAGAGCACCAAGGATGTAATAGATCCGTGGTGGGGGCAAAACGATCTTTTATACAAAAATAACTAGAAAACGGAGGGATATATTAAATGAGAAAGAAAGGTACGTTCCTAATAAAGAGAAATATATATATATATATATATATATATATATATATGATAATTTCACTAAATTTTAAGCATGGAGCAAAAACAAATGACCTCCAAATTTGAACAATCGACAGGGGCATTCAAGGCCTAACCTTATCAAGAACACAAGGCAAATATGGGAGACGGCCAATTTAATGCTTAGTTTGATACTAACTAAACTTGGTACTTTAAATTTTAAATTATACAAGTTTGGGACCCAAATAAAGATGAGTCCATATTATGGGGCATTTTTAGGCCTTGGATAAGGTATCATGCACGAGATGTGCTTATGATCATCATTATTCAAGCTTTATCTCAACTATTTGGAATTGACTACAATAATCTTATTTCATTATTTCGCTCTTTCAAAGGTCATACGTTCAATAAGACCAACAAGTTAAAAAACATTCAATGTGTCTATGGTTAAATTCCTTGTAATGTTGGATGACTTTTGTCAATTTGACAGCATGAGGCTGAATCAAGTAGGGGTTAAAATTGATAGGAGAAGTTATTTATGAGCCCAACAAGAAGCAAAAAATCTACTTAAGTTATTTCCAATAGCAAAGAATTTCAAATAGGTACCTTAGTCCAAAAGCTGAATTGACAGTGGGTCCCCACCCCAACCCCCAAAATTTCAAAACTCACCCACCAGATTGCCTTCCCAGCCTTTCCGAGAAAGAAAATCAAATAACTTTGAATTTATAATTTTGTCTATAAAGATATCATTTATCTTTTGTATATGGAAGCCACAATCATTCCCATTAATTATTGGATGGCTAGAGATGACTCATGAAGTCTGAGAATTTTTTTTTGAAAATTTGTATCTATTCAATGACACTTTTACAACCACCCATTTTAAAATTTAAGGGACAGGAATGACCATCTAAAGGGATTGTATACACAAAAACCATTTATCTTTTGTACAAAAAAGTCACAATAATTCTTGTGCCTTAAATTTCAAAATAAAAAGTTGTAAAAGTGTCATTAAATAGTCACAGAGCTCCAAAGAAACAATTTGTTAGGGGCAGCATTAAGCAAGGACTCAAATCTTGCACCTTTGATGCCAAAAAGCCATTAGACTGATCATGGTAACATTAGACTGATCATGCTAACCTCATGACTTATTGATATCAGAAAATGGATTTCAAACTATATATTTTAACAGATTATTTGGACCATTTAAAGTGTTCACATATGCACCAAAGCTGCACAATCTTCAAAGATTAAAATTTCAATACAAAAGTAGATTTCCAAAACATCATAATTGTTTTTGACACTAATACTGCATTTTTCGGTGGGTTTCGATGCGTTGCTTTATTTTTTATCCCTTAGGCTCTTGCACGCCAGAAAACAAAGACAAAAAGAACCACCAAGAAACGTTTCTCTTTTTTTTTCACTAAGCTACCAAGAAACCATCTAGTCATTTTTCCTACCTTCAATGTACTGCAAAAGGAAAAAAATAATACAAAAAATTGGAGGCCCAAAAGGGTTTCATTTTCTTGTCAAAGGGCCATTCTCATCTCCATGACCTTCTTATGAGAATTGGAATGCTTATAGCTCAAAAAACTCGGACTCTTTGCGGGTCGATACTCGGGCAACAGCCTCCCCGACTTAAACCGAACCCCACACGCGTTACAAAGTGTCTTCGGCCCAAGAGGCCCAGCCCTCCATTGAGGCGTCCGTTGTGCTAAACAATGGGTGCACCTCCTCGGCTGACTTGAACTGCAAGACTCGTTTGTTCGATCCAAAGACTCGCTACCCAAATCAGTGACACCCTCATCTGACTCGGTGACTAGCTGATTCGAGTCATTAGTATCAAGTGACTCGTTCAATATGTGAGTTGAACCGTTTGATGGCTCGTTCTCGGGTTTGGTTTGGATAATGAGCTCGCTCTCGGCGAGCCAATAGGCTTGGTGCAGAAGTGGCGGGTCATAGGCGGCTGACTCGTCGGTTGACGGGGTGGGGACGGGTAGGTGACAGGTGCGGCGCCTCCTTTTGGTACGGGCTTTGCAGGGGATTTGTACGGGATGGAGGGGTTTCATGTGGGACGGGCCCGGAAAGTGATTTACCGGCGGATGGGTGGCCGGAATTTCACCGGAGAAGCAGTCCTCGACAAACTCAGATAGCCATTCGAGGCCAATGTTTCCTTCTTCCTGTCAAAATATCCGTTCTCTTCGTGAACAAAAGATTAGGAATAATGGTGGGGAAGAGGGGGGAAAACAATTCAGGCTTTCACTTTAACCCTAAGAAAAGAGGGAGAGAGAGAAGAATAATACTGAATAGAGAGGGAAGAATGCTTCAACTCAGTAAAAAAAAACCAATTTTTTGGAAAAAGGAAAAAAATGCAGAGTTAAGTAGCTATTTAGAGACATCAGTGGAGTGTTGAAGAAAGAGACTCAATGGTGGGAAAAAAAAAGCACGGATTTCAAAGGGAGTTTAATTTCAAAATAAGAATAAAAATGGAAGAATACAAGAAGAAGGAAAGAAATGGGAAAACCCACAGAACAAAAAGGGAAAGAAAAGCAGAAAACAACTCAGTAAATTAAAACTTTTTCTTTAAGTAAAGAAAGAAAAAGGGGAAAATGTTGAAAGAAGTCAACAAAAAACAAAAGAAGGCGGGCAAAACTAAGAAAGATACCCATCAAATGTAACTTCACCATGAGAAACATAGAAATGGAGTGAAAATCTCAGAAACTAAAGAACTGCAATCAATTTAAATAACCAGTAAAACAGAGAGAAATAAACGGAAATTGCGCAACAAAAAGAAAGAAGCAACAGAACAATAAGTATGGATAAGAAGTTACAGCTGAAGAAAAGCTCTTCTCGTCTGGTAAGAACTCTTCAAGCGAAGTGAAGCTTCCAATGTCGGATACAGATTGAGGAGAGAGAACGGGGACTGCTTCCGGTGCCTTATTTGCTGGCAATTCGCCGGAAAAAGAGTATCCCAGTGGTGGGTCGCCGGAAAACACCACTTTCCGGCCAAATTCCATGTCAAAGCTCCTCCAAAAAATGAAGAGAGAGAGTGAAAGAAAGAGAGAGAGAGAGAGTTCAAATGATTTGTGGGGGAGAGGGAGGGCATGGGTGGTCTTAAGTGGCTTTCGCGGTGTCGGCAGGGATGAGGGAGAGGGGTAAAAAGGTCATTTGGAAAATCTGCTTTTATTTCCCTCTATTTTTGGCCTTTTTTATTTTGAAATCTTTCCCGGCGTTTCAATGCGAAAAGGGCCCGTATCTTCTATTTTCGGATGACGGATTATGCCCTCAATATTTTCTGAAAAGCGCCAACTCACCCCTCGAATTCATTTTGGCTCTCTCTCTCTCTCTCTCTCTCTCTCTCTCTCTCT